GGCAGTGCCAAAGAATGCTCCAACTACCGTACAATTGCACTCATTTCACACGCTAGCAAGGTTATGCTCAAAATCCTACAAGGTAGGCTTCAGCAGTATGTGGACCGAGAACTCCCAGAAGTACAAGCTGGATTTCGAAGGGGCAGAGGAACTCGAGACCAAATTGCTAACATGCACTGGATTATGGAGAAAGCCAGAGAAACATCTACTGTACTTCTGTTTCATTGACTACGCAAAGGCATTTGACTGTGTGGGCCACAGCAAACTATGGCAAGTCCTTAAAGAAATGGGAGTGCCTGACCACTTTATCTATCTCCTGAAAAATCTATACATGAAGCAACCGTTAGAACAGGGTATGGAACAACTGATTGATTCAAAATTGGGAAAGGAGTACAACAAGGCTGTATATTGTCCCCCGGCTTATATGCAGAATACATCATGCGAAAGGCCGGACTGGAGGAATCCTGAACCGGAATTAAGATTGACGGAAGAAATATCAACAACCTCAGATATGCAGATGAGACCACTGTGATGGCAGAAAGTGAGGAGGAATTAAAGAACATCTTAATGAGGGTGAAAGAGGAGAGTGCAAGAAATGGCCTGAAGCTTGATGCTTTTGACTTGTGGTGCTGGAGGAGACTCTTGAGAGTTCCTTGAAGTGCAAAGAGAACAAACGTATCCATTCTGAAGGAAATCAACCCTGAGTGCTCACTGGAAGGACAGGATCCTGAAGCTGAGGCTCCAATACTTTGGCTATCTGATGAGAAGAGAAGACTCCCTAGAAAAGACCCTGATGTTGGGAAAGAGTGAAGGCAAGAGGAGAAGGGGATGACAGAGGACGAGATGGTTAGACAGGGTCACTGAAGCCACGATCATGACTTTGACCTGACTCCGGGAGGCAGTAGAAGACAGGAGGGCCTGGCGTACTCTGGTCCATGGGGTCAGGAAGAGTCGGACATGACTAAACAACAACAACAGTTTTTATTCCATCTCCCCTCCATGCATGGATGTCTTGCTCACCATTTCCTCCTCACGTCAGTCCAAACTGGTGGGCCCCACAGTGAGCATGTCACGGGTTCAAGGCCAGCTGGTGAGTTCCACGGCCCAGTGGGTCATATTGCCCATTTCCAAGTGTGATCTTCTAACCACCCCACCGCATAAAAACACCACACGGGGAATCAACAATGAGGCATGGTTGGTAAAACTAGGCCAGGGGCCCAGTTTAAGTCCCATATGAACTGGCAAACTTTTGGCCACCTGCCACCATTGTGCCTACCCTGCAGGTGTGTTGTGAGGCTAAGAGATGGGAAAAGAACTGTGCCTGTCATAGCTTAGCTTCTTGGGGGGAAGATAAAGATATGACAAAGAAACTTAAGCAGACCAGAAGGCCTGTCTGAAATCCGTACCCCGATTCCCACACAGTGATGAACTAAATGCTTTTGGGAAGCCCATGCACGAGGCCTGAAAGTCCGTGTTTCCCTCATTGTTTTATGCCTCCCAGTATTTCTTATTTAGAGCCACCCGGTTTTTGACAATGGGGTTTACAATTAGTAGCAGAACAGGCCCAAGAAATAGTTTCCAGCCTGAGGTAAGTGGCAAACTGGTGCTGTTCCCCATAGAGGATCTGACTGGATCAGACTTCCATGGGCTGGATGCCAACAGCCAATGGTGCATCAAACACTAGCGGGGTGATATATAAATCAAATAAATAAACATGGCAGCCGGCTACCTGAGGGCAAAGACTGACCCTGGGGGGGTTGGCTGTGCCAGCTTTGGGTTTGTGGGAGGTTGTCCTCTAAACACATGCCAAATTTCCAGGCTTCAATTTAGGGTGTGTGGGATTGGCTGGCTGGCAGCCATAGTCCCTTCAGAAGAGGAGAACGATCAAGTGGGATTAGGAGGAATCATGGCCGTTTTATTGTACAAGGCTCTCTGCACCCAAGAAGGTTACAAACCCTAGGAAATAAGTGGGAAGAAAACAGAGCAATGATGGGCGATTGATTGATTGATTGATTGATTGATTGATTGATTGATTGATTCCTGGCCTTCATGGCTGCCCAGGGGGAAGTTTAGGGGAACAGGGGAGAAAGCTAGGCCGGCTTAGTCCGTGGGGAATAGGTGAGGCAGCCTGTACGCGCTCAGAGGCACTCTTAGGCAGCGGTCAGTTTTTTCCACCATTCCGCCACTGGTCCAAGCTAGTTATTTGCTTGCTTTTTTTTTTTTTTTTTTTTTGGATGGTGGCGGCGGGAAGGACAAGCAAGCAGGTGCCCGGAGCCGACATTCCAGACGGGAGAGCGCGCCCACACGGGACCCTAACCTTCCGGAGTGACTCCGGATTGCAGCCAGGCTCATCAAGATTCTGTGCGCGCCGGCGA